TTCTTTGGTGTGTCCCTGGACGATTGTTCGTAGCTGGGAACACCTTCCTTTCTCTCCTCTCCCTTTCTCTCCCTCTCTCTTTCTTTCCTTCTCTCTTTCCTCTCTTCACCCTCTTCCTGGATGCTTTCGTCATAGCTGGGAGCCCTTCCTTTTTGGTGTGTCCTTGGACGCTTGTGTCGTAGCTGGGAGCACCTTTGTTTCCTTCTTTCTTTCCCTCTCTTTTTCTTCCTCCCCCTCCCCCCTCTTTCCTCGCGCGCGGCGTGTTTACGAGCAAACTAGGCTTCTGCAACAGGTTTTTCTAATGAGGTTTGGACTTTCATAGGCCCCCACAGACGTTTTTCCTTCTTTTCTTTCATGTCTTTCTGTCTTCATGTCTCTTCATCCTCATCCTTTCTTTTTCTTGCGCGTACTATCGCCCGGACCTTAGTTTGCACACATACACGCACGCGTACTCTACTTACAACGAGGTTCAGGTGGCCCAAGTTCGTTACAATGAGGTTTGGTTCATCGGTTGTCCCTCTTCACTTGGTTCTTCTCCGTCGGCAACCACACACACCTTTGTCTGTCTCGTCCTTTTCATTTTCATCTGTCCCTTACCTTTTGCGTGCGCGCGTGCCTTGCCTCCTTTCCGGGCAGGATAGATTCGGGGAGGCGTGTGTGTGAAACCCTTGGAATCAAAGGAAACCTTTAGGTTTGGAACAGGGGGCGTGACGGTCGATTTCCTAGTCACGCCAATGAAGCTATGGAAATCGACTGGATGGAAGTTTGGGCGCAAACTTCCGTACCTGTTCCCCTATTTAGGAAAACAGGAGGAAATGGTACTCGACGCACTTGTGTGTCGGTGCCTTTCCTTCTGTTTTCCTCTAGACTACTCTACAGGTTTGCAGGTAGGCCTCCCAACTTTGTAAAGGGGTTCTTTAACCTGAACTTTGGCCTCCACCCACTAGATTGGCCCCCAACTTTGCTGTCTTGTGTTTCTTGTGCTTTTTGTGCTTCTTGTCAGCAACCTCCTAGCGTGGGCCCCCAACCTGCTTTCGACGGCCTCCAACCTAAGAGCGAAGACCCCCAGCTTTGACGGCTTGCAGTTTTGGTTCTTGTCACCAACTTACTAGCGATGGCAACCTAAGTGAGAGGACCTCCAACTTTGACTGTTTTGACTGTTTCGCTGTCTTGTTTTTTGTCACCAACTTACTAGCGATGGCCTCTCAACCTGTTTTCGATGGCCTCTAACCTAAGAGCGATGGCCTCCAACTTTTGCGCCTCGTTTTGCGCAGGCTCCTTTTTTAACCTAGGCCGGCGTGTGGCGCCGCTATCAGTCCGCACGCGTGTCCATAAGTGTGTGTATGTGTCTCTCTCTGTATGTCTCTCTGACGTGCAGGAACACCTTTTGCCTGCAAGTTCTTGACCTCTCGCAAGCCACCGACATCTGGGTAGCGCTGCGTCCACGCCTCAAACAACTTTCGCAGTTTGTGCGATGTCGCGAACCAAAATCGGACCTTGACCAAAATGTTTCGCGTGTTTCACACTTGACGACCGATTCGCAATAACGGGAAACATTCCACTGTTCCAGTAGCGTAAGTAGCGTCGTTGCTTCTAGTAGCGATGCCCTAGTAGCGTCCTTTTTCTCCTAGTAGCGATGCCAGGAGCCCCTAGTAGCGCCCTTGCTCCTAGTAGTAAGCGCCAACCTCTTGGTGTCTTTCTCGCTGTGTCAGCGCAACGCTGAAGAGGTCCGCCGCGCACTAGTCGCAAACCACATAATACCGCCAATCATTCTTCTCACCAGCGACGCGCCATCTTGAAGGACACTCTTGTGGGGCACTCTTGTGGGTCACCCTTGTAGGAAGCTCTTGTGGGGCACTCTTGTGATGTCACATCGTACCACTCATCGTCCCGCTCACCAGCGACACGCCGCGTTTACGCCAGCATGTTTCGCGCTCCCCCGTGGCACGGCGCCGCGCAAACGCACTTCCAACCAAGGCCCCGCAAACCCCAATGGCACTGCGACATCACGAACGCACTTTGGCCACACGGTCTGTCCACACACTAGAAGCACACATATCACATGAAACCGCCAATGATCCCGCTCACCAGCCACACGCCGCGTTTACGCCAGAATGTTTTGCGCTCCCTGGTGGCGCGGCGCGACGCAAACACACTTCCCACAAAAGCCGCGCAAATCCCAATGGCGCTGCGAAATGTAGGGCGTACTTTCGCCACACTTCTCGCTCCAGCTTTGCAAGGCCCTTTCCCGCACTACTTTTGTACTACAAACTGGCCACTTCTGAGTCCAGCTCCAAATCCTCTTTCCCGTACTACTTTTGTACTACTAAATGGCCACTTCTGAGTCCAGCTCCAAAAAGCTCTTTCCCGTACTACATTTGTACTTCAAACTGGCCACTTCTGACTCCAGCTCCGAAAAGCTCTTTCCCGTACTACATTTGTACTACAAAGCTCCGAAAAGCTTCTTCCCGTCCTACATTTGCACTACGAACTGGCCAGGTCTGAGTCCAAAGTCTCCAAAACGAGCGTTTCGTACGAGACTTCCTTCAAAAGTGAAGCGGACAGTCTCCAGAACCAGCTTTTCGTACGAGACGTCCTCCAAAAGTGCAGCGTCAAGTCTCCAAAACGAGCGTTTCGTAAGAGACTTCCTCCAAATGAAAAGCGGCAAGTCTCTGAAACGCACTCTCGCCTGCATTTCGCGCGCTCGACACGCACGATCTCCGCTACAGAGAATTTATAAAGTGGGGGAATGTTTTTCAGTAGGATATCTCCCGTGAAAGTTTTCATACTCACACTTGCATACTGACACGTGCATGCTTACACTGGGATACTTACACTTGCATACTTGCACTTGAATGCTTTCACTCTTACACTGGGATACTTACACTTGCATACTTTCACTTGCAAACTTTCACTTGGATACTT